GGCAGAGATGAGTGAGTGCCTCTTGTGCCGCCTCACTTTCTTGAAAGATTTCAATTTTGATTCCTAGGAACGTGGTGTCTCCGTAGTTAAGCACTAGGCTGCTCACTGGTAGTACGGCAGTTGGATTCTACCTCGTGTCTTCCACACAAGGTCGGTCTGCAGTCGGCTTCCATTGTGATTGGTGGTGGTGTTAGGTGCCATTGAGTCGATTTTGAGTAGAACTGCCTCATAGGGTTTTCTAGTCTGTAATCTACACGAGCAAATCGCCAGGTTTTCTCCCGAGGAGTCACTGCTGGGCTTGAACCAGCAACGTTTGCTAGGTATCAAACACTGAACCACTGCGCCACGAACACTCCTCCCGTCTTTTTGTTACGAGGTTGCTGTGAGTTGAAAATCAACCACTGGCACCTGACAACAGCAATCCCTCTGAGCTAGCCTCAAGTTGTCTAAAAATATAATAGACGTTAAAGTCAGACAAAGATGTAAGTACAAAGGCAGTCTTGTTGTTAAGGGCCATCAAGTCGGTTCTGGCTCATAGCAACCCTGTTTAGGGTTTCTGAAGCTGTACATCTTGTGGGGATGTACAGAAAGCCTCATCTTTGTCCAGCAAAGCCACCAACCTTGTGGTTTGCAGTCCAATACTAACTCATCCTACAGAGCCACCGTGCTCCCCACAAAATAAATATCACTATACTATTTGCAGAAGGAGCCCTAGTGGCACAGTGGTTAAGTACTCAGCTGCTAACTGCAAGGTCACTGGTTCAAACCCACCAGCCGCTTCGAGGGAAAATGAGAAGGCTATCTACTCCATAAAGATTTTCGGTCTTGAAAACCCAGTATAGGGTCACTAGGAGTCAAAACTGACCCCAAGGTTTATTTTCTATCTGCAGAAGCAAAACCTTGGATCCTCTATTCTCCATCTGCTTACTAACATCATGTCTTACCCTTATGAGTGAAAGCCAGTTATTTTTGCAATTAGATTTTCCTTAATTTGGGGGGAAATGCCTCCTTTACAAGTGTTCAGTACATTAAAATCACAATGTAAGATTGTACTGAACCATAATTATTGTGTGAACTTGCCCAGAACAAAAAGTAAAAATAAATACAACATAATTTCCAGAGGGTCATGGACTTAAGAGTGATATTTTTGGTTCTGCTTCATAGTTTTTGGTACTTTCCAGGTTTTGTTTTTTTTACAGTAAGCATTTATAACCAGAAGGAAAGCTTTAGGAAAAAGAAAAAAAAAAGTGACTTTTGTGGCAGGAAATACATACACATGCCAAGGGTTTTAGATTCACATAGCCTCTTCCTTCAGAGTATCCGGCGTACGTACAGCATGGGACAGAAATGATTTACATGTGAGGATTTATTTTAGAAGGATTTAGGAACACAGCTTTGTCCAGAAATGTCTCCCTTTCTTTGAAACAACCATACTGACAACAACAAAAAACTGCAGTCAACCAAAATAAAGAAGTCTCGGTGGTAACAGTAAGTTATGGATAGTGTATCTCAGAATCGAGTGGGAAATTCTAACAGGTACATTTTCTGTCACAGATGTCATCTGCAGCTGAAAGTGGGGATGCAGTCCCAGGCAAACAAAGCGAAGAAAAAACCTATAAAAAGGTGAGTGGGTGTTTTCGTTCCTCGCGGAAACCGAGAGGTCTGTTTCATGGTTTGGCTTGTTAATATCACCACAAGTCTTTCCTTCCTGCAAAGCAATTTTGTTGAAGTTACTGTCTCAGTTTGTCTCATGATTACTGTAACAAATGAGCACAAAGTTGGTGGTTTCAACCAGACACAGTGATTGTCTCCCAAGGTCAGGGTGTCCACAGTGCCATGTTCCTTCTGTGTGCCCCGGGGGACCATTTCTGGTCTCTTTACTCTCCTTGATACAAGTAAACCAAGTGCCGTCAAGTCGATTCTGACACATGAGAACCCCTTGTGTATCAGATCCAAATTGTGCTCCATTGCGTTTTCCTTTATGTTCTCTGTTGTGATTTGTTGTCTGTTTTGTTCTGTTGTGTATAGGATTGCTATGAGTCAGTACTGACTCAATAGCACCTAACAACAACAACAACTGTGATTTGGGTTAGATTTTATGGAACAAACTGGCTTTCCATTCAACAATTCATGCACATTTTGATTTTGCTCCGTGATAATGGATTGCTACCCCCACGATGTCATCTTCCCACTTCTTCCCCTGTGTTCCCTGTGTTTATGTCCCTGCCAGCCTTCAGAGCTTTATCCTGGGCCAATGCTATCTTTTGGGTCTCAAGTGGTGGATTGAAGGAGTGTGTAACTCCCTGGTAAGCGTAGTGGGTTACGACTTGGGCTGCAAACTGCAATGTCAGCAGTTTGAATCGACCATCCTCTCCGTGAGAGAAAGATGAGGCTTTCTGCTCCTTTGAAGATTAACAGCCTTGGAAACCCTAGAGTTGGAAACAACTCTACGACACTTAGCAACAATAAGACTAATTTTGTGCTTATCTCTTTGTCTGACTTCAGTATATATATTTTTTGACTACTAGGTTACTGAATGACTAGGTTGTAGGTACTGCTATTGTAAGACACTGTCAAGTTTATTTTCAACTCATAACAACCTCATGAGAAAAAAAGACAGGAGGAAGGTTGGGGGTACAGTGTTCAAGCGCTTGGCTGCGCACTTGTGTGCTGATCCCACGGCACCCAACCACCACCGCCACCTCCTTGGTGTGATGGTTTGCCTGTCATTTAGCTGAAAGTTCACTTCCAGACCTCAGGGTGTCTAAGGGCCTCAGTCCCTGGGGTCCCACCATCCTGAGGGTTTTCAGTGGCTGGTTGTTTGGGTAACAGATCGCCAGGCCTTTCTTCTGAGGGCTGAGTGGACTCGAACCTCCAATCTTACCAGTAGCAGCATTTACTTTATACAGGAACTCCCTCATACATACAGGTCCACTTTAAAACAAAGTGGGACCACACAGTGCATGCTGTTAGGAGTTTCTCCAGGTCTCAAGGTGGTTGTCATGGGTGACAAGAACTGGTGTGATTTTGAAGGAGAACCTGCCTCAGCTGACACCCCCACCCTAGAGGAGCGGCGGTGGCTGCAGGTGTGACCCCCTCTTGCCCCTCAGAAAGAGGATGAGGACTTTCCATTTCCTGATCTCCGCCAGCTTCCTCAGGCCCCCTACGTCCCTCCCTCAGAGCCCCCTGCCAGCTTCACAATCAGCGACGACTTGTCAGACCTTTCCTGGGGTGCTTTGAAGGACCCTGTGATTGAGACCCTGGGACAAGCCAGGATAATCCCCTTACTTGGACTTGAGGTACTCTTCATCCAAAAGCAAGTTTCGGAGTCTTTTCTGGTGTCCATTTTGGTCTTGTCTTTCTTTCTTTCCAGTCCTTTTCATGACCTTTTGTTTTCTTCATGTATGATGCCCTTGATGTTGTTGTTGTCGTTGTAAAGTGCTGTTGAGTTGTTCCTACTCACAGTGACCCTGTATAGGGTTTCTGAGGAGCAGCTGGTGGGTTTGAACTGCTGACCTTGTGGTTCAAACTGACCTTTCAATCCATTGTTTATCCTATAGTACCACACCAGGACTCCAATGTCCTTGGTGTCACTTCTTCTGTCCCTTAAGGTGCTCAGCGGGTCAAATCTACCTTTGAGATGGTTTCCCTACGCAAGTGGAATAGAATCAAGGCCATATTTT